TCAATACCTCTTGCAATGCAAGAACACTTTCTCATCGCATGGCCCCATACAGCAGTCTCTCTGATCCCCCTGCCAGGATATCATCTCAGGGTGCCACGCTTCTCTTGGAGGCGTTCAGAGACCTCCAGCTGCCCGTACGCATCCTGAAGCTGCACCATAACAGGATCGCCTCAGGCCGGAGGCTCCGGCAGTCCGCTGATGTACCCCCCGCAGAGGGGGGGCCTTGCCTCGCGGGGGTTTTCGGGAGTTTCGGAGCTGTTGGGGCTGTTGGGGATCTTCTTACCCCCACCCTCCCCCCGCTCTACTCCCCTCTCCCCTTCTCCTTTTTAAGCTTGAGCTTTGGCTTCAGGGAGCTGAGTAGATAATCGAGCAGATGCGAGAATGCTTCGATGCGCTAAATGGACTCCAGGTGCCTGTGTCGCCGAGTTCCTGAGCAGAGGCCAAAATGGGCAAAAAAGTATCGTGTTAAGTTGTGCGAGGGCTTCCACTGGTATCAGGTGTGGTTCATGAGCTCCACATCTCGCACAACGAACTCGATGCAGAGGCGCGCAGAACGCCCCATCAGCGACCTCCCCCCCCACACAGACTTTTCAAAGGCTCTCTCCCAGCCTTCACTTGAGGCAGCTGCCAGCATCATCTCGGCCGCGGTGCAAGCCAAGGATGTTGCGAGCAAGTGGGTTTAGGGTTTAGGCCGCAGCAGGGCCCTTGTAAAAATCAGAAGCTCCCCGACTCGAGGATGCCACGGGAGCGGTGTCCTACCCACGCCGCGCGGGCCCGCGAAACTGTGCCCCTCTCTGGGTTGGGGCCCTGCTGTTCTGTTGCTGACCAGCTTTTAGTCGTTGAACCCTATACTCAGGTCCGGATGGAGCAGAACTACATCGACCCGCCGACGCTTCTGCGGCTTCTGGACGCTGAAGTGGACCCCAAGCGCAAGACTGCAGGGGTTTTCTGCGATGCCCGCAGCAAATGGCCTGCTGCTCAGTCTCGCCCCACCCTCAACACCTAGCTTGGGGCCGTAGCCCTTCAAGAGCGTATTCGGGTATCTACAGATGAATAATGGTTTGAATGCATAGGGATACCTCCGCGGACGGCAGTGTCTTGCTCCTTGGAGGTGCACGCCTCACAGCTGTGCCGCCAAGCAGGCCCCCGCCTGTGTCGGAGACTTCTCCATCATCATGATAATCCCAACTGCACCCTTAAGATGGCACGCGCCCTCATGTAATCCAATGGAGTTGAACATTCGGGAGCAGCCTGCCTCAGAGGGTGAAGAAGTTTGCTGCCTGGAGGCCGGCTTGCCAGTTCATTTAAAGAATCTGCCTCAGCAGCGCCGGCGACCCCCAAATAGCTGCTTGGAGTACCGACTAGTGGCCGCTCTTGGCTGTTTTGTCTGACAGTTGCATACGACACACCGCAGAAGACGCTTCAGGGTGTTGGGCCTTCCTGCCAGTCGCCAGAGAGAATACCGGTTGAACTTGCGAGGAGATTGCGAGGGTTGTTCATAATCCAGCTTGTGGCCAGAGTAGCCTCGTGTAGCCTCGTGACACCTCTGCGGGTCTTGATTGCCGGTGTCCGCACGATGGTCCCTGCATGTCCCTGCGATGTTCTCTGAGACCCTGCCAAGCGCATGGTCTTTGCATTATCGCTTTGTGAATCCGGCGTCAAAGTTTCGATACTTCTATTTCTACACACAGTCTTCGACGCCCTGCTGCCTGCGTTGTTTTGAAGTTGGGAAAGACTGGGACCCAGGCACCTCAGCAGCTCCTGCTCTTGGAAGCATCCGGCAGCTGTCGGACGGGACGGAGCAAGCCTGCGTTCTGCAATTTGACTGGGACACCGGCCGGTGGCTACCGCAAGTCATCGACATTCCGCCCAAGGATCCTGGGATTCGCAGGCCTTTGGGGTAGGAGAAGTGCGCGAGACCCGCTCCACGCGCGATCAGGAGCTGGAGGCTTCCGCGGCTTCTTGGGAAGAAGGCCCCCAGAGGGCAGAGGGTGAAAAAGGGGCTCCGGGCCGGGCCGGGCCCCGCGCTCCGGTCTTCTCGCGCTCTCGCTCTCTCTCTCCGCCCTCGCAGGTGAGGAAGCCGAGTCGGCAGCCCACGGACAGCAGATTCAACCTTTGAGCTTGGAGGCGGAGAAAGAGGGTCCGTTTTTTTCTGCTCCATTTTCGTGTCGGCAGCGCAGCGCTGCCAGGTCGGCCAGTCCCTGGGCGCGGACATCCTACGCTCCCTGTGGGCTTCCCGCCCGCAGTGTTCTCCGTTTTCTCTGCCCCCCTTTCTTTTCTTTGTCTCTGAAGCTCCAAACAGAGTCACCGAAAGAGCTCAAGCTGTGAGGAGTTCGAGACGGAGCCTGCGGAGCCCCCAGTGGCCACCCCGTCAAGGCCTGGCGGTCAGCTGGTCTTTTCGTCTTCGCAGAGTCACTTTTGTTCGAGCCGCTCCTTGCAAACGGAGCCAAGCCCCCTTTAAAAAAAGATCGAGGCTACTCTAGGCTTCACCCGGTATTGAAACGCTGAAGTCCCCACGCCTTGCGCATGCTGCTTTTGCGCTGCAGAAGGTCCATCTTCAACCCTTCGGCGCCGGAGTTCGAGCCGGGCAAAAGGTGGAAACGACCACGCCCGCGTTTTTTATTTTTATGTTTAACTTGTAGGGTGTGCAGTGTTTCTAGGGCTTAGGTTTACAGAGCTGCTACGGTTGATGGGGACGGCACTGGTTAATTACAGAGATTTGAGCGGCGTTGAACGGCTTTTTTGGGTGGCGTCTTTTCGTTTCTTGGGGACAGGTGCTTCGTGTCCAGCTTCAGCGAGGAGCCCCCTGCTGCTTGCCCGCGCAATGCAGCTCCCCTCTCCTTTTCAGAAACCACCCTCGGACCCCGAAGCCTATGCCTATTCCCAAAGCTTAAATAAAGCCTACACGTTCTCAATAGTGTTAATTTCATCTCTGTCCACAGACCATCTCGAATATGAGTGCCAGCTCATCCTAAACCCCTGGGCCATCAAACCCCTCAACCAAGCTGGATGTCTTCACCTCGTGCCTGCTTTCAGTGCATTCCGAAATCCCGTATCTCAGGAACAGGTCGTCAGCACAGACACCTCAGCTGGGGCTGCTTCCGAAGCTACAGAGGGCTCCGATGCCGCCTCGGCGATATGTGAGTCCTAGTTGAAGACACCCCTCTCGGCCCGCGCTGAGCCTCTTTAACCATTTCTTGTGGGCTGAAACTGATTTTTTTGTGTTCCGAACTGCTCGGACATGTAATTAAGGCCGTTTATAAGGCTGCTGGCCTTTTTGGTGGTGATTTTTTGGGGGGGGAGGGGGGCGACGGCTTTCGAGGCCGCTGCGGGCGCCGAGCTCGGCGAGTCCTCGAATCCCACCGAGCTGGGCAGCCTCCGAGCCTGCAGAGCTTCGAAGGGTGTTTTAGCGGGAGGGACGCCCAAGGTTTCAAAAAAAAAAGGCAAGGGAGCTTAAGGTGTCGGTTTAGAGTGGGGTCGTAATTAGGGGTTGTCTTACTGCGGCGAAGCCAAGGCCACTCGTCCGACGCCGTTCCGGATCGAGAGCCGACGCTTGCCTGAGCAATCGCCAAGTCTGCCGTGGTTTCGGTTTGTTCTTTGGGTGCACAAGAAAAGAAGAGACAAAAAAAACTGCGCTGAAGGAGGGCCAGGGCCGGACAGGAGCTGCCGGACGACTGCCAGAGCCAAGCCTCCGATCTGGGTTCCGGGACGGAAGCAGAGGCCTGTGCTCTGGTACGACGGCATCTACTGCGGGTTTCTTTTGTGGTTTAGAACGTGAACAAAAATGGCTGCAAGCTAAGCTACAGCCGGCGCGCGCAGGCGACTGGCGAGGACCTGCCGGGAAAGCCGCCACAGGCCCAGGGCTCCACTCCGAGACTCGGCTAAGACTCTGAGAAAAAACAAAAGAAGTGGGCTCTTCTTCCCAGCGTGGTTTTAGAAAAACCGTAGCCAGAGAGAGCTGCACCAAGGCACTGGCCCTGCAGACTGATGTGAGATGCTCAAGGCTAATTCAGCCCATCGGAATCGCGGGGGGCCTTTTTTCTGGCCCCGTCTGGCGAACGCCAAACACTCCCATCTCCCTTTCCTCAGCAGAAGTACAAAAAACTGCAAGAGTTCTGCCTTCACGTCCTGCTCTCGTTCGCCAGCGTATCGTCCCAGACCTGCCTTATGTATGGGACGTAGTGTGGATAGCATTCCAAGTCCTGAAGTGCCGTCTTCACAGCCGGCTAGCCGCCATCAGGCGCAAAGCTCCGAAACGGCACAGAAGACGAGCAATCGCTCTTTACCCAACTCGTCCGCCCACCCCTCGCGTTTATTTGCGGGCACAGGCAAAAAGTTTGCAGCACCGAGAGGTTACTTCGCAAGTGATACTCGTAATTTCGGGGCCTTTGGTTTCGTCGAGCATCGTCGGCCGCCGAAGAGCGAACAGAGTCTTGGAAGTTTATCGTAGCGCAGGCGCTCCATGCGGCGGGTTGATTACAAGCCGATGCTTCCACAATTCCACACATCTTGATCTTCAGTAGGCCCACTGCATATCTGCGGCCGCAACCCGAAGGACAAACCCAACCTTGCAGCCGCTTTGTACTGCGGAAGACTGCGGAAGTGGTGAGTTTCAGAGTTTTCAGGGTCAGTTTCGGTGTTGAGTTTCGGGTCTCAGTTTCGGGTCCGGCCCTGGGTCAGTTTCGGATCAGAACCTCGCAACATCCCCCACCCCCCCCCCCGGCACCCTGAAACTGACCTCCGCCCGATCCGAAACTGACCCCCGCCGATCCGAAACTCAGCCCCGAAACTCACCCGCCTTGATCCGAAACTACCCCCATGCCGATCCGAAACTAGTAGGATGCTCTGGTAGCTCTAGTGGTCACGGATGTCTGGAAGAGCATTTTCTCGCCGTGTCCGCATTCCTGCGCATGAAGATGGGAGGGAAGGTTTTCAGGTTCCAAGTTCCAAGCTGGTTGGATTTTGCTGGAACTAAAGGTACCTAAAGTAGCAAAGCCCGCAGGCTAGAAGTGGCACCTGCAAGCCGTAAAGGGTGTATATATAGAACTGCGTAACTTTAGCCGTTAGCGGTCTCCGCCATGAGTGCCTCCTCGGACGAAGAGGAGGCGAGACCAGGCAGAGGACTCCGCCTTTTTTCAGCCCTGCACTGCTTATTGCAGAGAGAGAGGGGAGCTGAGCGGAGTTTTGGTTGAGAGGAAAGCTTCTTCAGCGGCAGAAGCGAGAGCTGAAGGCCCCCGCAGCCGACACGCCCCCGGCACTGCCCCGGCCCCCTGTTGCCTGGAGAGGCTCTCTTGGAGCAGAAGCGCTTGGAAGCCGGTGGCTTGGAGAGACAATTCAAGGGGAGGCCTCTCGAAGACTTGAAAGCCCCAGGCCTAAGCCGGAAGTCAAGGCTTTTAAAGGCTTAAAGCCGGCCTAAGCCACTTCGGGTTGCCGCTTGGGAGGAGAAAGGCCCTCGCCTGGCTTCGTTTGGGTTGCCAGGTAAGCTCACAAGCTTCGCGAAAGCCAAAAGGGAGCACAAGAAGATCGAAGCGCGCCAGGAGAAGCGGGACCTGGAGGAGCTCAGCTCTTCCAAGCCCTCCGCTATTCCTCCCCTTTTCCTCCCCCTCCTTTCCAGGAGAAGTTCCGGGTGCTGGAGGAGGAGCTGAAAGCCAGGCACGAGACGGAGCTGAAAGAGTTGGGACCCTCCGGCAACGCTGAGCCCGAGGCGGCCGACCGCACTCCCCGCCAAAGACCCATTGCGCCCATGGTGGGTTTCGAGGCCAACTTGCCGGTTTCTTCGGACCAGGATGGCCTCGAGATGGAAACTGAAGCAGGCGCGCTCATGATGCTAAGACTTACTTTTTGAGTGGGACTCCAAAGGCCAAAGAGGGTGGCCTAGGGTGTGACGTCATCAGTGCCGTGGCATCCTGTTGCGATGGAATGAAACTTCCCGACACTTACAAAGCCTGACTTTCCCCGAGCACGGCTGAGGGGGGATTGAGGAGATGTTAAAGGCTAGACAGCTAGACTCAGCTGCTGCTCAGCTAGGCCTGCTTGCCAACATTTCCAGGCACAAGAAGGGCCCGAATACAAAAGAAGAAAGACATGCTCGCAGAGATCGAGAAGGAGCTTCGGGAAGCGGGCACTTGAGACTTACCCGCAACCGATCGATCGGTGTTTCACCTCTGCACATAGCGATGCATCGACTATAGTCTACTGCGGCAGCTGTAAGCCATCAGAATGATGCTGCGCCCGGTGAGACATGTAGAAAAAGGGGGCCGGGCGCAAGGCTGTCACCGAGCTGATCCGAATAGCTTTTGTGGAACTTCCACTCCAGCATCTCAAGCATCGCGTCGGGTCTTGTTGGTGTCTTGTGGAGGTGGTCGGCGAGAAGCCAGCAAGAGCCGGAGCGGCAGCCACTTCACATGAATCCCTGTCAAGCTTTGGTCGAGTTTGTCAGGGGTTTGGGTTTTCAGATCTGGGTTTTGTCAGATCCGGGTTTTGAAGTCTTCTGCAGCGAAGGTCGCGGCAGAGAGGACAAGCTAGTTCCGGCCGCGGCACCACAACGAGTCCGGATTCAGTCCTTCGAGGCGACCTGACGGGGGCCCGGGGGGGGGGAGGGGGGGGGGCGTTTTTTCGGTCAGCTTTTGCTTTGGAGGAGATCCTGGCAGCTGTGCGCTCCGGCGCCATGCCTTCCATGATGCCCGCTGGCCCAGCGAAGAGCAGAGTTCCCCCTTTTTGGTCTCGAAGAACTTTCGAAATTTACCGAGGCCCGCCAGGGCCGGCTCCGCGTTGCAGCCGCAGACCGCAGGTAGAGTTGGAGCTGGCAGAAGGGCAGAGCTCTGACGCATGTGCCGTCAGGGGGCTTCATGCTGCCAGCACGTGCGGAGCCCACGCCAGAGAGTTCAGCGCAGTGCAGGATCAGAACCCCAAACCCAAGCACGCGCAGACGATCCTTGCACGTGGCAAAAGCTGCATGAGAGTGGCCACGTCGATCTGTTTTCAAACCTCCAAAACAAGCCTCTTGCAGAGTTGAATTTCGAGTTTCTCCGCCGATGGGTACTATGAGGGACAAGTCTGCAGTGACATCATCAACAAGACTTCTGTGAAGTGTCCGGTCGTCGCGAAAGTTGTTATGACAGACTGGAAGAGTGTTCAGACATCGGCCGAAGACCGGAAGCCCTTGCAGCGAAGGCTCGCTCTACGACTCCGGCTGATGCCTCAGAGCCCTTAAACAAACAAGACTCCACAAGAAGGCAGGATGTGAGCCACGAGGCTACAAGGGCCAAATGTTCGGGCCTTCCGGTGAAGATTGCCCACAAGCACGTCCGGAGGCTGAGCGGCCGGCTTTGGAGTGAGAGTCCGTATACTTGGTGCTTGGAGTGCTTGGCTGCTCTGGATCAGATGCTCGAGCGGGCAAAGGAGGAAGCCAAGATGGCAGAGGAGCAAGGCGATGCCACGCGCGATGCCACACAAATTCGAGCATCAGGTTATTGCTTTGCTGAGGCAAGCGAGCCGCCAAAAAAGGCGCCTCCATCCCGACAGGGCCACCAGGACTTCCAACGGGCGTGGTGGTATCAGCCCCGGTCGGAAGCGTTGGGATGTTAGAGGGTGGCAGCTTTTGTGAATAAGGTCGTTGAGCAGAAGTACGTGGATTTCCTGCTTGGCCCGGGAGGCAGCACAGAAAGCATGCACTGTCGTCGTGGCAGTCGCTGAAAAGCAGGGCAATCCCTGGCAGCGATCAACCACGCAGCCGGGGTCAATGTGAATCTGGATCAGACGCACAAGTTCTCGGGCTATAGCATTGCCAACATCTACGGGCCCGAGGAGCTCTAGAGACTATATAGGGTCAGTGTGTGGATCATCTCTGCAGAAGCCTCTCTGTGCGGTGTAAAAACAAATCTCCCTCCGTGTTCTTATGACATGAGGACCGGGTGCGAAATGCGAAATTGGCGATTGACTTCAAGCTCTCCCAGTGGCTTCCACTTCATGAGCGACGAAGAACAGGAGGTGCGGTGAACAGCCAGTCGAACCAGGCGCCCGGGCCGGGCTCCCCCCCAAATCTCTCTCTCTCTCTCTCTCGCTTACTCTCCTTTGTGTTCGCACACGCACTGCGTTGAGATGTGGGGGGGGGGAGCGCCCTTCAGGTCCCTGCGCCACTTGGGGGACGGGAGCTGGGAGCTTAGCACTTGTCTATGCACAGCCTCCGTCATTCATAGTCCATGCAGTGATTGGTGGCAACAGCATGTCCGAACTGGGGAGGGGGAGAGGGGGCCATCCTAGCCTTGTGTTTGGAGCCCGCGTGCAGGGCAAGGTCATATCCGAGCTGCCACTGACCCGAGGGAACCCTTAAACACAAGCACTGGGATTCAAAAGTATCGAAAGCATAGTAGCTGCCACTTCTGCCACATCGTGAAGGCGTGCCGCCACCAGAACCGTTCACGTCAGGCGGAAGTGCCGAGTCCTTTTCAGAACGGTGGTGCGCGAATCTTCCCAAGAAGGATAAGACTTAATGGAAGGATGGTATGTCGAGTTGTCAAGCTATCGATTTAGAACAGCCGACTCCGAGCGCTGCGTCTCGCAGATTCGGCATGCGGACCGAGGCCGTCCGCTGGCACCTGGAGGTCAGGGAGCCAGGGCCAGGTCACGGCATCAGGCGAGGAGCCCGGCCAGGGTTGCCAACCAAGCGCTTTTTGGAGAGCCCGTGGCATGTGGGGCCCTCCCCCCCCCTGCTCTGTTGCCGGAAAATGTGAGGCAGTGCCGGCACGTGGCCGCTTGGGCCGAGAGATTCGCGGTTTTTGGGGCGGGCCCCTCGACTCGGCATCTCCATGGCCCTTTGATTCCGAGGTCCAAAGATGGCGACCAGGCAGTTGAGGCTCGAGAAGTGCAGCCTTGGAGAGCGGGATCTGTCAGCGAGAGCTGTCCCACTGCCGAGGGCAAGCAAATTACTGGCGGCCTCCTTTGATGGCACAATGCAGGGCCCGATCTGCCTTTTGGCCTGCCCCAAGAAACCAAGCTAGGTCCTGCTAGGTGCTGAAGCTCGTATTTGGCATACACTGTAGCAGCATTGCTCTGTAGCATTGCTATGCATTGCGCTTGGTGTTTTGGGGCAGCCGGCCACGGATGGCACTGCTGTGAGGGGCGCTGGAGAAGTCTTTTGAGAGCCCGCCGGCGAGCCTTTGATGAGCCAGCCCGGTTTGGAGCAGCCGAGCCGCAGTTTGCGCCGCAGCCAAAAAAGCAGCCGAGATGCAGTCATGTAGTCACTTTTCTGATGGCCTCGGGGCGCCATGGGGCACAGCGCTCCCGGCTGCTGCGCCAGGAGGCCCAAAGTGCAAAGTGAGACCTCCAACCGTAAGTCAATGAAAAGCCGCCGGGTGTAAACGAAAGAGACCTCCTTATATGAGGCCAGTGTCCGAGTTGTGAAAAGGCGTGTAAAGTTGGCAAGTCCCTCTCCGATGGCAGGCGCCGGGAGATGCTTACAGCCAGGCCTTCGAGGAGCTCCGAAGAGCCCACGGAAAGACACGAAGAGAGAGAAAAACAGCGATCCATCAGAACATCCGAGCGTCGAGCCAGTCGCAACTGTGCCGTCAAAATCTGCTTGATGTCTGGGGTCGCTGCCACTGCCCCCCTTGCCCAAATCCATATCAACAACTGGACCCGAAAGCAGACCCATCAAAGCCCAAGGAGTATTACAAGGTGCAGCAGATCGTTGCGGAGGAGTGCCACCAAAAGTGAGTTGCGTGTCAGCTGTGCTCTGTGCCATGTTGCCCACAGGATTCCTGGCATGAGTTTCTGGAGACCCTCAGACGGCCCATGCCGGTGGTGGTCCGCATCAACCGCACAAAACCTCACTGGAAGGACTTTTTGACTGGGCATAAACTGCCAAAGCCTTTGGGAAGTGAGCTGCCTGAGTTGCTCGAGGACTTGCATGAGTCATTTGCCCGCGATTTGTGGTGGCTGCCTTTGAGCTGGTTCCCGCACGCCTGGGAATGCGAGGCCCAGGTCCCGCGGGCAGCACCGAGAGAGCCCTCAGACACGTCCTGAGGGTTCGATTGGCAGAAAGGACTACGACCATGCCTTGCGCAGCCAGTGTTCCAGCCTCAACAAGGCCTACTCCCTCCGCTTCCAGGAGCGCGCCCGGCGACGCGCCGCGCGCGTCGCGAGTCTCCGAGTCCTGCAGCCTGGACCGTCCGGTGGCAGAGGAAAGCGCCTCGCTGCTGCCGCCATTGCTCCTGAAGGCCCGGGGGCCGCTCCAGCGGCCCGAGCCATATGGTTTAGAAGGCGTTTTTTAGTAGGAGGACTCCGCCTCGCGCCTGTGCTGCAGATCCAGCCTGGGGATTTGGTCCTGGACCTCTGTGCTGCACCAGGCGGGACACGGCTGCTTCTCCTTTCTAGCGCTCTTCTACGAAACGAAAAAGCAGTTCCCCTTTTTCCTCGGAGTTCGCGGCGCGGAGAGGCAGCAAGACCTTGGAGTGCATCGAGCTGATGCGCGAGGCAGAGACCACGGATCCACGGCTTCTCAGCAGGGAGAGAGCGAGAGAGAGAGAGACTAAATACCTGAGACTCCAAACTACCTTTTCACACCCCCGAAAGCCCCATAACATATGGGGGGCCAATAGGCCGGGGGGCTTGACACGCCCCTTGTGCCCTGGGGAAGCAGAAGACTCGGTCCTGACCCCGGAGCAAAGCAAAGCAAAGACTCCCGGAGAGATGGGCGACCACTCAGAGAGACAGGCCTCGCAGGCAGCCGACGACCCGAGATGGCCCATCGCAGGGAAACTTCTCCTCTTGCCCTAGATCACTTCTCAAGAGTTTTCCACAATTCAGAACAGCAGCGACTGTTGAGGAAGATGCCGGAGTTATCATTGCGAATGACGCAGATGCGGAGCGATGCTTCGAGCTGTTGCCGCTCGTAGTGCGAAAGGCACACAGCACGGCTCTCCCTCTCTCTCAGACTCGCTCTCTCTCCCTCACTCGCGCTCTCTCCCTCACTCTCTCTCTCTCTCTCTCTCTCCCTCACTCTCTCTCTCTCTCTCTCTCTCTCTCTGCGACTGTTTGTCTCTGGAGAGAGGCACGGCACCCTGGCTGCGCCGTGGTACTCGGTAGCGCCGCAAAGTACCCCGCACAGTTCCATGGCCCTGCCGAGCAGCTCCTGTGCCTTCGTGGCCACAGCATGCTATATTTTGCTGCCCCCGGCACGACAGCCGCCTATCTCCATGGGGGAACTTATAGAGTGAGAGCTCAGGTATGATCGTGTCCTTTGCGATGTGCCCTGCTCCGGGGATGGAACACTGCGGAAGCGGCCGCAATGTTGGAAGACCTGGTCCGTCGACCCGAGGCTCATGTGTTCGCTGTTGACTGTGGCTTTTGGAATCCCTATAGAGATGCAGTGATAAGGGCTTTAATGTAATACTGCAGGACCTGTAGGAGTTGCTTCTGGGATGGTATAGAGAAATGAAAAGTGGGGCTGAGGACTTCGCCATGACTCTCCACAGCAAGCAGCTTCAGATTTTGTGCCGTGGCCTGCATCTTCTCAAGCCTGGCGGCCGCCTCGTCTACTCCACCTGCAGCCTGAACCCTCTGGAGAACGAGGCAAGGCAAAAGCCCAACAAAGCGGGGTCGGAGAATGCCCTGTGAGAGCCAGCCAGAGGCCGTCGTCTCCGCTGCACTGGCCCGCTTTGGTGAGGATGTGGTGCTCGCAGCTCGAATATATCGAAGAGAGCTTCAAGTTCCGCGAGAGCCGCTTCAATCCGTCAGAGCTCAGAGCTTGGTACCTCTGAGTCCTCTGAGAAAGCTTCGCTTTTGTGCGAGGTCTCCGATGCTGCCGCGGAACCTGTGGCAGCTGGACTCCGAATCGCGAAGGCGCTCAAGGCCTGGCGGGTGCCTCCCCCAGAAGCGGCAGGAGGAGCTCTCAGCGCAGCTCAGGGCTGTCAGGGCTTGGGCCCTTCCTAGACCCTTCCGACCGCGCCGCGCGCATATCCGCATGCGCAGGAGCCTATTACCATCGTTGGGAAGAGGTTCCCATCGCACAGCGCAAGCCCAAGGGCCCGATTTGCCAAAGCATGTTCCCTTCCGAGCTTTCCGAAAGGGCAGGGGAGAAATGCATCCGCTTGAGTCTGGGACGGCATCTCTGTGCATTGTGACACATTACAACTCTCTTCCGACCAGAGCCAGCACCATCAAGTTGCAGCTTAGGAATCCGCATGAGATCGATGGCTCTGGCTTCTTCGTGGCCGTCTTCACGAAGACGCTCCACCGGGCGTTTCCCTTGGATATCCCGCGACAGCCCAGCTTGGGTTCACAGATCCCTTGGAGAGCAAGGCCTGGACACAGGTGAATCAGATGTCATGCCGTCATACCTCTGGTCTCAGACAGGAACCAGAACAACCGCTATGTCCTCGTCTCGCCAGAAAGCCCAGACGTCCGGTCCATTGCGACTCAGATCATTCTAGCGGAATCTAGCGGATCTAAGACCTGGGTGAAAGAAGAAGAGCTGTCTTAGGCGGATTTCTATGGCTTGCAGAACGTGCCGGAGCCGCTGCTAGCTGAGTACAACACGAAGGCGAAGCTCACACAGCTGAACCTGGTGAACTCCAGCCTTTTGCGGCTTCTCCAGAGCCCTTTGAACTGCAAGGCACCGAGGGCTTAGGGACTCGGCTGGGTGCGTCAAAAAGGCACGCGAAGTTACATAAGCACATACACGCATTGGTGTCCGTCCGGTGGTGTTTGCAAGGGCTCGCCTCTGCTGGTTTCAGTGGGGATCCCTCTCTTCAAGCTCTTGGACGAGAACTTCATGACCAACATCAACGTGCAATCCCGGTGGAGGCCTGCCCTCGAAGGCGCCTCTCTCTTGGCAGAGAGGATGAGGAAACGCCGACTCTTGCTTGCGGCGGAAGCCATGAGGCTAGGGACTGGGCCAAAAAAATGCGAACAAACAAATCTCTGCAATGGACCAAGTTCTGAAGCCGAGGCAGCTGCTGGCCACGAGGCTCTTGCCCATGGAGTCCCTCTTCTTGCTCGCGAAGAAAGGAGACCTCGAAGGTCTGGAGAGCTGCGAGGAGAAGCTCGGGGGTGCCTTGGTGGGCGCCTTGGACGGCTCCTTCTGGGCTCCCTGCATCATCACAGGCCGGGGCCCCCTTTCTAGGCTCCAAGAGCCCGGCCCAGCTTTGCTTGGAGGCAAAGGCCTGGAGCTCTACGCCAGCACCGTGGAGCTTGGCGATCCAAAGCCCACTTTGCTCCCTACGAAGATGCCAGAAGTGCTGTGCCAGCGACCTCAGCGACGCGTTTGCACAGGTTTGAGAAAGATGGTTCTACACGTCCCTACACTCCGCCGATTCGGGGGGGTGGGGCGGGTCCTGTAAGGTATCTTATCTTGGATAAGCCCAGTGGCCTTCGTACGGAGGATGCGCTCCGCGCCTCGGTTGTCTCTCCACTTTCTCTGATTTGAGAAATCAGAGACGCCCCCGAAGCCGGAAACGAGGGAAAAGAGAGGCTCTTCCCTCGCCCTCGCGAGGCTTTGCCCAGCTCAGCTCGGCCGCTGCTCAACTGGTGTCTCGACTGGACAAGGCCATGGGTCCCGGCGGTCGCACGCCCTGTGTTCTGTGCTCTGCTTTGTTGGGCCAGGAGACCAGTGGCTGCCTGCTCGTTCCCTTGACTGAGAGCTCTGCGAAGCTCTTCACGGAGCAGTTCGCGGCAGCGAAGGCCTCTTGCTCCCTCAAACATAGACGAATCCACGGGCACGCTCTTGCGCGCGCAGTTAAGCTCTCGAGGTGAAGAAGTGCTACGTGGCCTTGGTGCTCGGGGAGTCGCCTGTGGAAGGCGAGGTCTGCGCCCCGCTGAGCCTCTTGGAGGCCGGGGGCGGCAGCCGCTACAAGGCCTTCGTGGACCCTGCCGAGGGCAAGGCGGCTTTCGGAAACCGTGAGAGACGAAGTCTAAGCGAACACGGCACTAGAACTGACTCTATAACTGACTCTCTAACCTTTCTCTTCTTAAAAAAAGGGAAGGCCCTTTTTAATGAACGTTCGAGACCCACACCTCGGTGAGGCGGCCTCCAGCTCCTACGAGCTGCTTTGGCACTCCAAGGCCCGAGGCGCGTGGGCGAAGCGGGGCCAGAGCAGAGGCAGCAGAGGCCCAGGCCTCGCGCTGCTTCCCGTTTTTAAAGCGGAGGCTGCTCGCTGCTTCTCGTGTACCCGAAGACCGGCAGCAGCTTTCCTGAACTTAAAACTTAGTGGAGACGTGGCTTTTGGCGCAAGCGGCGGCTAGCAGCTAATATGGCAGCCAAGGGACGCATCAGATTCGTTGCCACATGGCACACATTGGTCATCCTTTGGTCGGGGACGGGAAGTACGGTGCCCCCATGTCGGCCTGGTGCCAACGTCTCCCGCTGCACTGCTTGGCCATCCGCTGCCTGGGCCCACAAGGCGAGGGCAGCGTGAGTGCCTTTGCTCCGCTGCCTTCGGACTTTCAGCAGATCCTCGCCTCCCTCGACGACAAGACAGACTGGCAGAGCCTGGTCCGCGAGCGGTGCCTTAAGACTTGAGTCGTCGAAACGCGACGCGGACGCCCGGACGGCACCTCAGGGCCAGGCAGGAAAGAAAGCCTGCAGCTCCGCTACCGGGAGGAAACCGCACCCCCACCAGTTCGGCACGCTGGACGACGGGATTTCGGCCTTCTCGAGCACCTTCCAGCACATTCCACCACCTCCCCATGCGGACGGCCGGCTGCCGCTGAGCCCGAGCTTGGCTGGCAGATTTGGCCTTGCGGGCAAAGAAAGGACCCCTGGCTTTCAACAAGCTGCTCAGATTCGTTTGTCTGGTTCAGCACAGCCACCGTCGACTTTCGTTTTGGGCCTTCGGCTCGGCGTCCAAGAACATCCCCCCCCATGGTCCCCCAAATTGCAAAGCTCAGCCAAGCTTCATCCTACAGCTGTCCTAGCTTTTTGCGACATGAAGCAGAGGTACCTTTAGAAAGCAAGGAGTTCTGGGGCAGACGTTGTCTTTGCATGGCCAAGCGCCGCTGCACGCGACGTCGCTTCTGGGCCGTGCGCCTTCACAGCAGCCGCCCAGCTCACACCGTTGAGGTGCAGGGCTGTGCAGGGCAAAAAGGCTATCGAAATTCGGAGAGATTGGCAGGTCCCTGCCGGACAGTTCCTTCAACTCTCCAGGGCCCTGAGCTCGAGCTCTCTGCCCTTCGTTTTGTGGCACATCTTACCCCGGGCCCCAGGCTTGCGTCAGCCAGGGGACAGCCGCCAGACTGCAGGCCGAGCCGCCGAGCCGAGCCGGGCCGCACCTCCGCACCTCGACGTTTCTCTCCCTTTTTTTGAGGTGTCGCTGGAGGGAGCCACTGCAGGCCCCCGCAGCCGAAGCTCCCTTTCGGACTCGAAACTCTCGTGCTTTGCTTGGCTGCTGCAGCTTGAAGGACATGGCAGTGGCGCCTTCAACTTTGCCTTCCTCGTCGAGGAAGGCCTTCCTCACGAAGCTGAGAGAACTTGACAGTTGATGGTCATTTTGTCCGCTTTGCCTTAACGCATCGCTAGAGCCGCTAGAGCTGAGACGCAGGCGGCCGGAACCTGTCCTTGCGCTTGCCACGGGGCTATGCCTGGCAGCTGAAACTCATCCACAAAGGCCGGCGAGCATGAATGCATGAATGAGCTTGTGGGGACCACTGGGTGTGTGTCTTCCTGTGAAGTGCAGTTGGTGCCAAAGGACCTGTGCCGACCAGCCCGGCAGTTGTTGACGTTCTGGGCTACATCACACCGAGCAGAGGTCCTACGCAGAGCCTGGCAGCGTAGGCAGTGACTTCGCATGATGATCTCTGTACGCGACAGGCGCGAGGAGGACAATCCAGGACCCGCCAAGGCAGTTAGTAATGACCATTTCGATTTTCCTCGGCGTTTCACAGTTTTTTTTCATAGGTTCTTCAGGTGTTGTTTCATTTGATGTATCTTCAGGTGCTTCTTCAAGAATAACATTGGTGTCTGCTCCATTTGTTACTTCAGGTTCTGCTGACATATATAATCTTCTATATTTTCTATGAATTATGTAAATAGAAATAATATAGACAACGTTTTAATTTGTTTCATCGCTTGTTTCTTGAGTTAATGAATTTAAATATTGTTGATGCTTCTGTGTTCTCTCGTACGGGTCTTTACAATCTATAGTGTTTATACTCCCACAGGGACAGTTGTATGTTGTTTTTTGTTGGCTTAAAAATCTTTCTTTATGTGTTTTCGTGATGTTGCTTTTGTGTACGGCGTTCTTCTGCTTTGTTGTCTACGTACCATTCCTTGTGAGTTCTTCCGTTAACATGTTGATTTACACATGTATCCTTTCTTATTATGATCCCTTGTCTTGCCATTAGTTCTTCTTGGTTATTACATGGGTAAGTCTCTTCTAATTCAATTCTGCAATTCTCAACACCGTATTTCTTGAAGGAATCAAAAGATGTGTAATTGTTTTTCTTTCCTTCCAGATATTGCTTATAAAACTTCCTATGCTCTGCCATTCTAACGCTTAAATCTTGTATCGTGCTTCCCGCATAACATTCTGTACAGGTTATGGTCCCACATGTTGTAAATCCTCGCTTTTTGATAGTCTGGCATTGAAGCCTGCGCATGTGAGGCAGCACGGCTCGCTCCGGCAGGTGCGCCTGCATGCAGGCTAGGGCCTAGGGATCAACAAGGGAAGTGCTTCATCTCCTCTCTCTTGTCTGATGTCATTGCTGCGTCTAGGATGGACAGCGCTGTCCTTTAAGTCCACCAGCGATGGTCGCTTGGCCCCGCCGCAGAGAATTCTCAATTCCCGGTGCCCAAGGATGCTGCCATGCTCTCAGGTTGTGAGCGATGTCCCGAAAGCTTGCTTCTCTTCGAGAGAATTCGGTGCAGCTGCAGCCCCACAGGCCAGTGAGAGCCGGCTTAGCCGGCTAGCCAGAGCGAGACTTGAAGCTGCCAATGACAGGTCGCGAATGCAGCAAACTCAGGCAGTTCGCATTGACGGCGCGACGAAGTTGCTTAATTCCATGCGAGGTGGCCGTTGGTGACGAAATCGACCGAATCTGAGCTTTTAAGGCGGCTTTTAACTTGTGCGTCTCCGAGTTCTGAGGTCGAGGTGAACGGCATTTCCTTGGCAAGCTTGGCTAAGGGCATTATGTCCCCGGGCTGTCAATTCAACACCTGCAACGAGCATGTGCCCGGCAGTGCCGCTCGGAAAAATCGGAGAAGCGACACTCATCTCCTTGATGCACTCGTGCGCCGCGAGGTCGGGAAACTGCAATCGCCTCCCTGCATCTCCTGCGACTTCATTCGGCGCCGGCGCGAATTTGGCTTGGACGGCACTCAGGGGGAAGACGGTTGAGCGGTTGGCCGTTCCAGGCACCTGGCCACAGCACAGGCAAGCATTCTTCCTCAATTTGCAAGCAGATCAGCAAACCATGTCGTAAAAATTGAACAGCGGCGTCTGAGAAGGACTTGGCCTTGCAGATGTGGCTTCGAGCGGTAAAGCTCCGTGGCTGCAGCGTGGGATGCAGTAAACTGGGCCCCTGTGAGGGATTGTTTTGATGTCGCGCTTGGCAAAAAACTGCGGCGTGCTCACGTGCGCAAGCCGCGTGCTGGGCACTGTGGTGGGCTTCTGGCCATTCTAGGCCTGACAAAGTCGTGACATTTTGCCACTGCCACCAGACCTGCAAAATGTGGGGTTGGTGTTGAGTCGACCCTTAAACTGGAGAAAGTCCGGAGTGAGAGGGGAGGATTTCTTCTGGCACGAGAGAAACCATCCCAACGGCGCCCGTGGCCTCCCTGCTAGGTGGACCACTGCTGAAGGAGTTTTCTTCGGTCTTAGGGGATTACGGATTACCCATATGTGCGAGCGAGATGGTAGGTGAAATCAACACGCATCAGGTGCTGCCCTTAACTTCACCGTTCGGGGATCGAAACCTTGCATGATGGCACGCTTGCCGTGCAGAGCAGCCACTTTTTTCACAAGGAACTTGTTGAAGCACACTGTCAGAGTTCGCATATGAACTTATATGTTCTTGATAATTTGGAAAGCCCCTTCATTTGGGAGCGCTGGGCCTTGTCTTGCTTGACGTGTGCGCCTGTCTCCAATTGTCTCAGCTTATCTCCCCTTGTCTCCCTTCATTCGGGACCGGGTGGGGCCAATGCCAGGATTTGTAACTAACGTTTGTCGCACCTTTTCCAACAGCATTGTTTGCTCAGCTTTGGTTTCAACTGTGTGCGGTCCTCTGCGCATCTTGCAATGGTGCAGGCGCGCTGCATTTCTTTTGAAAGGTCCTCGTCGGCAGACAACGCCAGCACATCAATTGTCACGATGGCACTTAAGTTCTGAATTGTTGCTATTGCGTTCTTCGCATGATATGACCCATGCATGCGCGCTGAAACATGTTCTCAATGCAGCTTTTGGAGGCCGCATGCACATTGCCAGCAGTGTGCCCGTCTGGGTTCTCCTTACGGAGCAACGGCTCCCATTCAGCTGGTGCTCCATTTCTCTACGTCGTGCCGCCTCACCAGTCCTACCAAAGGGCGGAAGATGCGAACGGTCTCAAGACTTGGACGGCGGCGCATTGTTTCCAGGGGCTATGTGGCAGAAGCGCGGAATATGTTATTTGCAGCAAATCCTGCTGACATTTACGGCGTTTTTTTGAGCAAACATCTCGCGCTATCCTGGAAGACACGGCCACTTGTTTGCAAGGCCCTTTGCTCCATGTCGTCGCGATTCGGGAGCAAGTTTGTTGTCGTTTTGCCACTGTTTTGGCCGGCAGGGCCGCCTCCGTGGACTCATGACTGGGGGCCCAGCCGTGGCATAAGCTTGATGGAGCGAAACTTTCAGCACCAAAGGCGGACAAAGCACGGATTCCCGTTGACACGGTAGCATCACCAGGCAGGGATTGCAACCGGATTTGCCAAACAGGTCCCAGCAACGTGACATCATTGTAGTACTTGCGCCAAATGTTATGAAGCGGCGTGGTTGCACAGAATATTCGATTCCCGTGGCGGGCGGGCCCGCGTTTTGCCGGCGTAGGCGGCTTCAGTGCCGAATTGGTGGCCGATTTGATGCTTGCCTCGTGCTACAGGCTATCACTGTCTATGACTGCTCTTACCGAGGATTTGGATGTTACCAAGGATATCAGCTACTAGCTGCTAGCCTTTTTACGAAGAAGGTTTCTACATGCCTTATGCCAAGCCATCTTCGCCTTCGGCCCATGTTTTCTGCTCTTCCACTTAAGCTTCTGATGCAATTAATTTGCTTGGTGTTGGCTACAGTCTCGCACATGCCCAGGCAGGACATGCCGATCACACTTGGCGCCCTGGGCTGAGACTTTGCCCGGACAGTACCCCAGTGCTGGCAGTGCCTTACAGGTCCGCTCGTCGCGAGAGCACCGGGACGAGAGCAGGTTGGGAGCTATAGACGGTGAAGGAAGCTTTTCCCTCCTCTTTTCTCTCTTCTCTTTCTCTAGATGCGACCCGGCAGCCGCCGGGCCGGCCCCAGCCGAGGCCCAGAAATCCCGAGCGCTCGCAAGCAACGCAAGCCCCGGTGGCAAGCCGCGAGGTTCAGAAATGTCGCAGGCACCGCAATGACCGCTTTGGGCTTCTGCATCTGCACAGGAGATCAGGGCCCAGGCGCCCAAAGCCATGCCCAAGGCGGCTGAAGTCCAGACAGCTTCTCCGAAGGCGCCTCTCCCCCGTGGCGCCCCAGTCGCAGCGAGAACGCTACGGACGGACTACTACTTTTTTAGACTGTCGTCGCATGAAGTCGACTTGAGGTTACAATCCCCTGAAGCCAGCGGCGACGGGCCAAGCGGCCCAGCCCTCGCGCCGAATGCAACAACAATTCCTTGAGATCGGAGTTCTGTTTTGGGGGGGACCTTTTGTCTGTTTTCGGCTCTCCGAGGCTTCGACCTCCCCAAAGCCTCGTCAGGGGCCACTCCGCGGAGCGCAGCACTTGGCCCCCTCATCTTTGCCAAGTGCAGGTTTTTCGGCTCTCCGAAACCGAGGCTGTGACACAGCTGGCTGGTGGTTTGTGCTACGAAGAGCTCCCACCCAAAGGAGAGTGACGCCTTGTCCACGTCAGTCCGATCTTGCTTCAGACAAGCCGTTACCCTTCACAATCGGAGCTGCGGAGCCAGCTGCAGCAGCAACAGCTGCTGCCACTGCCAGTGCTGCTGCGGCTGCGACTGCTACTGATGCTGCTGCTGCTGCTGCTGCTAGTTACTACTACTACTACTACTACTACTACTACTACTACTACACCCCCTACCAACTACCTGGCGCCTCAATCCACCACCATCATCAACCATCATCACAGAAGATGGTCCGCCATCACGACCGTACTGTAAATACCGAGTAAAACGGCTCTTATGGAGATAGTGTTCGGGGTGTTTGTGTGCCAATGTCGTCATCATCCCCCCCGCCCACCCCCCCACCCCCAATTCCGAAGCCGAATTTATCAAAGTCGCGGAGTGGATTCTGAGACAAGAAGAAGTGGTGTGACAAGACAAACGTACCGTAACTACCGAGTAAAACGAACATGCTCTCAAGAGGGTTGGCAACAGAGGTAGTTGGTGGGGGGGGG